TTCTCATTATCAAATCAAGTAAGGGGCAGTATTCCTTAGTTGTTATGTTGTATTAATGTCTTGGGGAAAAAGTTCATTGGTTTTGTTTAGGTATGAAATTAAATTTTAAATCTAATTTAATTATCCTTATATATACAAAAAAAAGTTTTTTGCTCTCTTTTTTTCAGAAATGTAACATCTTTACTTTTATAAAGTTAAACTTTCCAGCAGATTTCAAATTTTTGAAAGCTAATTATGCATTGGGATGTGCATTTGTTATAGTCATTTTTTCTATTTTGATTAGGTATTTTAACTGTAGGTATCAGATTTGCGCTGTTTTTAAATAGAATGAAGTATAATAAATTTAATAATAGATAAATAATAATATAACAAATTTAATTTTATTATCATAGTTAAATTGGAATTTTGAATCGATTTATTATTTTACTTTCCATATTAAATTTTTAACTGATTCGAACAAAGTAGAAATCAATATTAAATTCAAACAACAAACTCAAAAATCAGAGACAATTTTGAACCAAGATTTTGATATTTATTCATGAAAAATTTTAAATATATTTATAAGAATGTTGAATATCACGCGCGCGTGAAATACAGGTTATATAAATTTATTATAAGCAAGATATACTTGATGAAAGATGAGGAACGTTCAATATTGGTAAAAATATTTGCGTATTTCCCAATATTTCCAAGAAAGAAACGAGATGGACTTGAATATAATCTGCAATAACGCTGAAAAGCAAGTAAAGGCTTGTCTCCAGAATACGAAGAACCAATATGGTCGAAACGATCACCACAGGGTACCACACAAAATAGCATAATACATAGAAAATTCGCTCAAAACTCAAAAAGACGCACAGTTCGCAACAGACAACTTTAAAATAAACTGAAAAAAAATGTAAAATTCATTGTTTTTATTTTTAATCTGTTATCAAATTACACCAGTGCTTCTCAAACTTTTAGTATTCGCGACCCAATATTCAGTCATAATTTTCATCGAGCCCCCCTCCATGCAATAACAATGTATTTAATTTTATAATACTATAACTTGACGCTAAACCTTAAATACGACTTAAACCTCTTAAGTGCCACTGGCGTATATATACCTCTCACAAAGCCAAAGCATTCATTTTATGGACGTATATATACGCCTTTTCGAAGTATGATCTTTTCTGTGCATTGATATCCGTAAAATTATTCCGAAGGCTTTGGAATGCAATAAAAGGACCTTAACAATGTTTGCGAAGGATTTACTCATTTCAGAGTATCTGCTTATTTATTACTGCCTTCCTCTCCCCCCAAAACATCACATACTCTTGACTACGTGGAAAACGATGACATTAAGAATTGAATCTTGTAACTTTTAATTGGCAGTTTAGGGATTAATTATAAACCGTACAAAAAAAATTACAAGATAATTATTAATACAAGCCCATGGGATCACTAGTAATTATCAAACTTGTTCTTAGCTAAGTATTGTTAAATTAATTATAAAATACATTGTATAGTACTGATACATTTATAAGTGTATTTTATCAGTGTAAATGTGTGTTTTATTTTTTATTATGTGTGAATGTATTTTGTTTGATTACTTTCAGAATAAATAATTAATTTTTTTAAATAATCTTTTGTTTTCGTCTTCTTAATGTGCTAGCACCCCCCCTTGTAGAGTTATCACGCCTCTAGGGGCGTGCCCCACAGTTTGAGAAACGCTGAATTACACTATTTAGTTTTATTATTCTCGATCATTGTTGCGTTGGAAATCTATAAGTATATTGTTGTAATGAACAAAAAGAGAAAAATATTCGATTGTTGTATACTCACATATATATGAGAGATAATACGTAATTTTACATAAAATATTAAAAGTACGGTACATTTAGTAATTATATATTAAAAACCACACAGTTCTCGGATTTATTAAAAATATTCTCTAAAATAAATTAAAAGTAAAAAAAAAACTTTTATTTAATTGCTCTAAAATATAAACTTTCTTTTAAAACTTTTTTTGCTATCGACTTATAAAGTCATTACACAATTTATGATATAAAAGCTTGTCGCGAGATTTAAGTACTCGTATTTACTTAGTTTGAAAATTTTAAAAATTAAAATCAATCAGATCGAGTTATTTAATTTGCTTGTTTATCTACATAGGTAAATCTCGCGACAAGCTTTTATATCATAAATTGTGTAAAGACTTTATAAGTTGATAGCAAAAAAAGTTTTAAAAGAAAAGTTTATTTTATTCTTTTTAGAGCATTTAAATAAAAGCTTGTTTCTAAAAAGTTTTTTCTTTTACTTTTAATTTATTTTTTACTTTTTAGTTATCGCTGGACAGAAGTTTCTCAGTCTGTTAATCTCATTCAACGCATTATTGTTGCAAGGTCGTTCGCCAGTTAATTTTGACTGTCCAACTAAGAGGTATTCAACTCTTTTTCCCGCCAGGCCACGTATATATGGTAGATATTTCACTCGGGCTGCCACAAGAAGATAATGGAAAGGAGGGATAAACGCTGTTAGACCAAAACAACATTGGCAAAGCAAAATTAATTAAAAAAAATATTAAAACTCATTTTTTTTTGGCTTTTACAATAATACTGTATTAAAAACGAAAAACACAATTTATTTTTTATCCGTAATTTTAAACCAAATTTTTTCAATTTTTGTGCAGAGTTTGAATGATACTGTTCTTCAAACGAAGAAACATTTTCGTGCGAATATATTTAAAAATGACAAAGTTTTTAAATGTTTCATTAAAAATTTAAGTATTTTTTGAAAAATCGTGAAAAAAGTTTTCGGCATTTTATTTTTTAAATGACTGATTTTAAAAGAGAAAAGCCTGAACTTTCTTAGTGCAGAATATCGATTCAATAACACGAAAAAAAAATCATACGGAATTATTTAGAAATCATTTTCATGAAAACGCATCGATTTTGACTCATTTTAGAAAAAATTGTACAAAACAGAAAATATCATTATTTTTTAAGAAGAATTATACCGTTTGCAAAATTTCACCCGAAAAATTATTTTAATTAATATCTACACTATTGAAATTCGAAGGTAAACAAACGTATGCGACTTTAAGACTAGGTGTACCTTCTCAAGAAACACACGACGCAAAACTCGCCGACGGTACCAAAAGTTGGGAATGATCCAAGGAATTCGTTTTGACCCTCTATATTCCAAAGGTGCAATTAGTTAAAAGGATAGTAATTAAGAACCTTAAAATGCATAATTATTGTCATTTTTTCCCACCAGGACGGCAAAGTTCCAATTTTCCGAACTTTTTTATCTCAGACTTTTTTAAAACACAATCTAATTTTTTTTATGAGACTCAGGCAAAAAATAATTACAAAATCGGAATGACCATTTACTTAGCCACGATACAGTAAAATTTATTTTACAAAATAATGATATTTTCTATTTTTTACAATTTTTTCTAAAATCAGTCAAAATCGATATGTCTTTATGAAAATGATTTCTAAATCATTCCGATTGCATTTCCTTTCACGTTAATGAAATGATATTCTACACTAGTAAAATTCATACTTTTCTCTTTTAGAATCAATCATTTAAAAAAATAAAATGTCAAAAACATTTTTTACGATTTTTCAAAAAATACTCAAAATTTTATTTAAATACTTAATAACTTCTTTATTTTTAAAAATAATCTTATGATACATTTTTTCAGTGTGTAGAACAATATTATCTGTAATCTGTACAAAGATTGAAAAAATTGCTTAAAAATTACGGTTTTAAAAAAGTGTATCTCGTTTTTTCCCCTTTTTGCGAGAAATATTCAAGCATTATTTTTGTTACATTTATTGTTAAAAATTACCGTTGTTTGTAATCGAGTTATAAAGTTTGAAGGCATTAACTTAAAAATGATCCCCGAAAAAAAATTTAAGTTTTAACAAATATCGCAATGCGAAGTTGAATATCTCTTCCTTTTATTTCAACGATCTTTTATTTATTTTTTCCTAAGATTTCGTGGATTGGTCACTTAAAGCGCTGAATTAGTAACTTTTCTACCCGGGTTTGAAACAACATCATCGCTTTTTATGATTTTTTTAAAAAAAAAATACTCAAAATTTTATTCGCGCATTTAAAAACTTCGCCAGCAGTTTTGTAATTGGAAAGATAATTTATTTAGTCAAAATACAGTATGTTTTTTACAAAACAACGATACTTTACATATTTAATGATTTTTTCTAACATGAATCAATATCGATGCATTTATATGAAGATGATTTTAAAAACCATACTTTGATCTTTTACAGTTAGTGATTTAAAAAAATAAAATGTCAAAAATTTTTTTATGAATTTCATTTGTGCAGTAATTCATTACATTTTGTGCCACTATATGTCTGCACGTGTCAGGCCACGTAAGAATCGGCGAATGGTCACTTACTCGAGAGCTCTGATAGTGAGAGGGGAAGGGGAATTTGCATGACAATATGTTATGCATTTAAAAATGTCCCTGCAACGCCGGGGTGGGGTGGGGGTATAAACCTGTCTGACAAAGAAAAAAAGCGAAAAAATTTCGAAACAGGGAATTTTAAGTTATACACTCGGTAAAAGCCCGAGCAACGCAGGGCTAAGTGGAGGAGGGGAGGGGATGTAAGTCATTTTGAAAAAGAGTATTAGAAGTGCTGATTTCATGAAGAAAAGGGAAAATTTATAAATTTAGAGAATGTTCGTGCAACGCCGGTCCATGCAGTAGTCTTTTTAAATAATTGCGATATTGAAATATAAATGGTCAAAACATGCATTGTCATCCAAACTAAACGTGTATACAACATTTCAGTTCAATCGGTTGAAGACATCAGCTTCAAAATTAAGTTGCAAGATTCCACCCGAACATTTTACATTGTAAGTTAAATAAAAGCTTGTAAAAATATAGCATAATTGTATGTATGCTGAGTGGAAATATTGTAAAATATATCGTTGTACACAAATCAAACAAATTTTAAAAATATTTTACACGAAAAAATAACAATTGGAAACGCGGGGTATCGATCCCCGTACCTCTCGCATGCTAAGCCAGCTCTCTACCATCTGATCTCACGATCCCGGTCGACACCTGTGTTATTATAAACATGCTCGCCTTAACACCTGAACAAGATCGTTACAGTAACTAGGTCGATATCGGAATATAAATCGTCAAAACATGCATTGCCATTCAGCTCAATCGGTTGAAGACATCAGCTTCAAAAGTGAGTTGCAAGATTCCACCCGAACAAATTACTTTAATTAATATCTTTTTAACTAATTGCGATATCGGAATATAAATGATCAAGACATGCATTGTCATCCAAACTAAGCGTGTATAGAAACTTTTAGCTCAATCGGTTGAAGACATCAGCTTCAAAATTGAGTTGCAAGATTCCACCCGAACATTTTACATTGCAAGTTAAATAAAAGCTTATAAAAATTTATTATGTTAAAATACAAAATGTCTGACGAGAGAATTTATTTAATAAGAATATTTTAGGTATTTCAAACATAATAACCATAACCATACACCTGCAAAATTCACACAAATTTAGAACTGAAATATTGAGTAACCACATTATTTTTAACAATTTAATCTGAAATACTGTGATGGTCTGGTAACGTAAGCATTTTCGATCAGAAGCCATTTCTCCCCACAATACATATACGCTATCTGTTACCCGTTCGCTTCATCTGGTATTTGCCGTGTAGGGCAGCGATGCACGTTAAATCTGTTCAGAGCTGAAACGTCCTCCCGTTGGTGTGGTGTGGTAGTTAGGAGAGGGGGTGCCAGCTCAGGTGTCGTCCACGTCTATTGACCATGGTTCAAAATTAAGTGGTTCGTCGCCAAAAGCCCTAGTGTAGCTAAACAGTGCGACGTTAATAATCAATCAATCAATCAATTTCATCTGGTATTTAAATATGTTGTAAGGCTACATTCTGTTTTTAAATTATTGATATCTAAGTTCTAACATAAAGCTTTCGATCGTACAGAAAAAAAAATTCTTATAGCTCTAGCCTCTAGATTTAATAAGGACAGAATTTGAATTTCTAAAATGGAAGTATACTTATCTTTTACGCCCCCGTAACTCCCATTCACTCGGAGTCAATTTCCACAAACACTAATTTTAGTAGATCTCTGCTCAATAAAAGGAAGATTCTTGCCAAATTTCAGATCAGTAGACTATAGGTTCAAAAACGAGGATTTTTTTTTAAATCTGTAATGTTTCGTATCCCCCCTTTTGGGAGCCAATTTTACAAAACGTGTTCTTCACTGATCTCAACTCAACAAATAAAATAGGCTTAACAAATTTCAAATGTGTAGGTCTAACAGTTCAAACACGGGATTTTTTTTTGTCAAAACGCCATGATAACTTCTTTTAGAAGAATGTTTCTGTAACAGATGTTAACAGATTTCTACTCAACAAAAGAAATATACTTGCTAAATTTGAAGTCTGTAAGTCTAATGGTTCAAAAATGGAAGTTTTTTACCTATACGCCTCCGTAACTCTTCTTGGGAGATGATTTCTACAAAACCTGTCCTTAGTAAATCTCTACTCAATAAAACAAACATGCTGCCCAAATTTCAAGTGTGTAGATCTTATAATTCAAAAATGGGCATGTTTATCTCTAATGCCCCTTAGAAGTTTTTCTGCATTTAGCGGATATCTACTTAACAAAAGAAACATGCTTACCTAATTTCAAATCTTTAGGTCTAATAGTTCGGGAGATTTCGTGACGTGTGTGAGTGGCTTTCTCTCTCTACATACAATATATTTATTTAGAAATTTTATATCAGAGTAACATGTAAATCACTAAAAATATTATTTTTAAAGTTCGTTATTTTTTATTAGCATAAAATATATGAATAATTAGCTAATAATATACAAAAAGCAATAACTGAGCATTTCAGAGCTTGATATGATGTATTTCAATAATTATCGAATCTTTTTACGTCTATAATCATTGAAATAATTGAACTAGGTGTTTATTTTACGAAAATCATTCTCTAATTCAATCTTTTTCTCGTTTTGAAATTATTTTAAAAGCAAAAATATTTTTTTAAATGTTTATAATGGAGAAAGGAAATTAGGTTTAATTAATTTTAGAACCTCTTTTTTATACAGATGATACCTTTAAATTAAGTTTAAAATTAATGAAACAAAATTAAACATTAAAACTAAATATGATAGCATTAATTATTATCGAATCATTAAATGAAAAGTATAAATATCATGTAAAATAAATATTTCAACAAAACCTTGATCTTAAATACTATTTTGATATTCTAATTGAGTTTATTTGATCCAGAAGCCTAAAACAATATCAAAGGAATCAGATATTCTTATAAATTATATTCTTGTATAAAAAAATCTAATTGTACATAGTTTTTAGTTTCAAAATGAGTGTTTATGCAAATTAGATGAAATAGATTTAGCACTTAAAACCAAGGTATCCAATCACGTGCGAAAAATTTTTCTTTAAAAAAATTGAGATAAACTTTTTGTGGTTTGCAGATTTCTTCAGTAAATTATGAGAAAAAAAGATAAAATTGTAAAGAAATTTTTAAACATCAAAATGAGTAAAAATTGCTGAAAATATATGTAAACGTGGTTCACTCTGAACAAAATGTTTATGCCTTAATTTTTGATTTTCCAACATTTGTATATGACATTGCTATTTATTTTTGAAATAATTTTAAAGATAAGAAATATTGAAATTTTCTACAAAAAATAGAACATTTTATCTTAAACACTATACGAAATCCCTTAAAAAAACCTTTAATATTTATATAAATGGCTATAAATTTTGCAATAGTGCAGTGTTTCCTAAAAAGGTAGGCCAAACAAAAAAAAAAATTCTAATATTACATAAAAACTTGCAAATTATTTTCATGCCTTAGTAACTTTTCCTTGTTACAGTGTCAAATTTTCTATTGGGAGGGAAAGGAAACTTACATTGGCTAAAACGTGTTTTAAATCCCTTAACTGCAAATTGCACAAATGGCATTCACTCATATTAAAACAAATGTGTAGAACAGGGGTGTCCAACACGCGGCCCACCGACTCATTTCAAAAAAATTTTAAATATCAGGTTTTTAAAGTTTTTTCATTTTAAAATTTATTTGAGGGGAAATTTATACATATATATAAATCTACAAAGTATTTGCCTGTTCTCGTTTTAAAATAAATCCTTTTTGATAATAGAAATGTCCTTAGGTTAAAATAGATTTATAATTTATGAAACAGTTACATTTGATTTCACTATAATAAATTTCTTTTTTAATAAATTTCGAATTGCATTATGCATATACTTTACAATGGATGACACATGATTCTTTGTGTGTGCAACTTTCGATCCTCTTCCTCCTTTTCTGTTTGGAGTGCTCAAAAAGCAAGAGGCAGTCAGAGATGTTTTATAAAGTGTAAAAAAAAAAATATTCAGGACGGGGTTAGGTAAAGGTCAATGTAAACCTTAATCGTTTGCGAATGACAGCACAATCAAATTTTAACAATGTTTAACGAAAGATCAATTCAAAAGGAACACCGTAATGTTCAAGAAAATGGCAACTGTGATATTTTAAAAACATCATTTGATCATTGCATTATTGTATTATCTATCTCAGTATACATGACAAATAATGAAAACAATAATAATAATTCATTCTGTTTTAAGTTTTCACTCCAATAAATGTTTTTTTTTGTTTTCAAAACTGATATAAAGAAACATATTTTTATGTGCGGCCCGCGAGACTATAATGTTTTTCCGAAGTGGCCCGCAAGTTCATTTGTGTTGGACACCCCTGGTGTAGAACCCTCCGCTATATATCAGGGTGACATCACGGACCCCCAATATTTTTGACATCCCTCGTCGACTTCATATTCTTGATCAAATTACAAGTTCTAGTAGAGTTTCTTCATTCAATTCTTCCATGAGGGGAGTAGGTGGCCCTAAACCTGGACTGTGTAACTCCGAGGGTTCCGTATCTGAGAGATAGTAACTCGAGCTTGCCACGACACTTGCAGTCAGTGGCGTAACGGAAAATATTAGGGCCTCCTTGTACAGTCCAAAATGTACTTTTCTTTAGTAAAAAAAGATCTTTGTGTTGTTAGTATTTAGTTTTATTATTTTCCCAATAATAAAAAGTCAAAATAATTTGACGGCACGTCTATACCTCACTAAGCATTTCTTTAGAAAAAATGGCACGTTGATCCATAAAGGTTCGCCATCCCTGCCCTAAGACAAATCCAAATTATTTCACATTTACTTACAAATTTTGTTGCCCTACAAATGCGATATACTTGTAGGAGGACAAGAGTCATTATTATGATTCGGAATCACGCGGTATATAACAGTATTTTATCTTGAGCAAAGTCACTATCAACAAAATAAGAGAAAATCCGAAATAGCATCATGCTACGTGTTACAGAGAGTTTTTTAATGATAAATTTTACATTGATAAAACTATGTTGTAATCTAAAATGTTTGGAGATTTCCGGCATTCCCCTTAAAGTTTTGAACTGCTATTGACATAAGGGTCTCAAACGCTAATAAGGTTATATAAACACAACTGAAGAATATCTTACAACATAACTCCAGCAAATTAGAAAGCCAATGAACTGTCCACGACGATCGAACTATTAGGTGTTCAAGGCTTAGCTGTAATGGATTCCATTGGTGTAAAGAGGAAAACTCTTTACACCAATGAAATCCATCAAAGGCTAAGCGTCCCATTACGTTGAATTCATATCTGGTACACACAATTACTTAGAAACACGTGTTTCTTAGAGAAAAGTTGGGACAAGATTTGTTATAAGGGTATCAATAATACCATATCACACAGACGGCAACGAAAGAGAAGTTCAATGAGAAGATCTACAATGGCAAAACATTGAATTCTTAAGGCTGTATATTACCCTACAAATGGCAAAATATAATCTTTTGCGTTTTCTTATGGCCCAGATAATTGGGAAATTTGCCCCCAAATTTCAGGTCTGATAACGTATTAGTTTTCAAGATGTTTGAAGTTTTCTGAGCTTATGTTTTGGTGTCGGCTTAATTCTAAAGCATTTTCCTATT